GGATCTGAACCCTCGGGCGGGAGCGCCGCCGCACTTCCCAAGCGGCGCACTTATCCAGTGCGCCACCGGGCCGGCCCAGGATGTATTTCTTTTTGATGGTTAAAGGATTAAATTAGTGTATCTTTTGGTACAATACATGCTTTTAAAGCTTGAATTAGCTCATATGCAGTAGGTAAATAGGAAAATGTCAGTACAGAGTGGAAATTGTGTCAGTTCACATAAGGCTTTCACCAGCAACCAGGGAAACAAATATTTCTGCAGATTAGGAGGATTTAAGGGGGGAAAAAAGGTGGAAATTCTACAGGAGTACAAGTAGTGGCTTTTTAGTGAAAGTAGTGGCTGATTTAGTGGTCTCAAAATCTGTGACACTTTATGCTACCTTAAAATAGAAGATTTATGTTTTATGAGTTTTATGTTAAAACTCAAATGCAAAAGTTTTGAGTTACAGTTGAAGGGTCTGTGAAGATATTTACTCCAGTGTTTAAAAGAAAACAAACCTGTATCCTGGATTCAATTTTTAAAATCATTGAAACTGTACCCAAGGACCTCCATCTCAGTTGAAGAAGCATGAGTCTAGGGAGATAAAGGATTGACTGACCTTTATGCTTGGAGCAAACGTCAGTGGAGATTTAACTGCGCTCATGTTTTTTATTGTGATTGTTACTTTTCGTCATTTTGTTAAGTGCTCTGGTTACCAAGTTCCCTGGGTTTTGAAAATTCTGTCCGGTTTTTTCAAAAACCCTATTATTTTCAATGGATAATTTTGTAGAATGTGAACTTCTTAATAATGTGGTGGATGCTAATCCATTTAAAAATACCAATCTATAAAATTAAGTGTAAGCAGATATTGATTGCAACCATGGAGAACAATAGTCTCAATTCCGGGGCAGTTTTGTCCCCCAGGGGATATTAGACAATGTGTACACATTTTTGGTTGTCACAACTGGTGGAGTGAGTGGAGGTGGGGAGTGGAGAAGATGCTCCTGGCACCTAGTGAGTTAGAGGCCAGGGGTGCTGCAAAACATCCTAGGCTCAAAGTGTTAACAGTGTCTGGGTTGAGAAACCTTGCTGTAAAGGGTTGTTGGGACATAGTAAGCATTCAGTAAATGTTAGCTAATTTTTACATAATTGTTATAATACTTACATTTTCAAATATAAATTATTATATGATTTAGTCTATTTCCACACTTTTGATTGTGTTTATTTTTAATAGTACAACATTGATTACTGTCACTGTATATTGTAATCCAATCCAGTTTGGTTAATTTGTTCTCTTATTATTTAAATAATAATACTATTGGATTTGTAGGAATTAAAATCATTTGTAGAGATATATAAATTATTTTATCTCTTTCCAAAATTAAATTCTTACAAATTTCAACCTATCAAGATACTTGTACAAAAATATCCTTAGGATTTTAAATCTTTCTCTTTATTGACTCAGATCATCTTACCTTCTTTGAGGTTTTATAATTTCTTTATATAAAATCACCAATTTTATTTCTTAGTGTTTTATATTTTTATTGTCTCATTTTTTTTTACATTATATTTTCTTTGTTTGGAATGCCATTGAATTTTTTTTTTTTCCTTTTTGTCTTTTTTCATGTCCGGCAACGGATCGCAACCCTCAGTGTCGCGCCCGTACCGGACCAGGACCGGCAACGGGATCGCAACCCTCGGTGTTGCTCCCACACCTCGCTCAGCCAGTGAGTGGGAACCGGTCTGTATGTAGGATCCGAACCCTCGGTGGGAGCGCCGCCGCACTCCCAAGTGGCGCACTGTAGCAGTGCACCACGGGGCCGGCCCCTGCCATTGAATTTTTATGTTTATTTTTTATTGTACCATCCTCGTAACTTATTATTCCTTTGATTCATAACTTAATACATTGGCCAGAACTTTAACAAAAATAGTGATAAATGGCATCTGTGTGTGTTTCAGAGTTAAATATAACACAAAAAGTATAGTACTCTGACAGCTGATGGAAAGAAAATGATTTGTATTTAGAACAAAGAACATTTACAATTGTCCAGGAAAGGCCCCTAAAATGAGAGTTTCTTACAGCCTTACTTCTTTAGAGTATTTGAACAACAGTGCGTGCTCTTAGGTGATATACTGAAGAAGTACTTTGTCAGTATTTTCTAGGAATCTTAAAATATAGCTGGAGATTTAGGGTGAACATTTAAATACATTTCTTCAAAATTAAAAGTGAAGCAGAAGTAGGAGGCTATGTGTAATCACACAATTAGTTGGTAAGTACATTTGTAGGAATTCAGAGGTTAGGTAGATCTTCATGCACTGGGTTATTTGATGATGTGGGACTTGAGCAGATCAGAGTTGCCCAGAGTATCATAAATGGAGGAAGGAAGGGAGATTATTGCAAAGAGTAGAATGAATATGACCAGGGTGTACCACTGTTACCAAGGCAATTCCAAAGATTGCTGCTAGCTTAGCTGGAAATTTACTTATACAAATTTTAAATAAGTTAATTCAAGAACTTCTTAAAAATGTTTCCCCTGTGAAGAAGGGATCAAACTGATATGAATGTAATTATCTGGTCTATCCAAAATGTGAATCTCCATTTAGGCTAGAATGACTCTTTGTTATAGTGCATATGTATATTTTTTGTAGTTCTTGCTATCTTTGTTCTCATCTCATGGTATTGTCTATATTTTGGTGTTATTGTAAATGTATTGAGGAATGTTTTCTTAAAATATAGCTGGAGGAATTATGGTTTTTTTACAGTGAGTTTATTAAGGATTTTTATAATGAGTCCTATTTCTGCTATATGCTGCAGAAAGTATGGGTGGAATTGAAATTTATAAAGTTAACTAACTTGAATTTTAAAGATAACATCAATCTTACCTGTACATTCTGGAGTGTATAACAAAAGGGGCTAAATACTGAGTAGCATCATCATTTCATCTGTGTTATTTAAAAATATAGATTTATTTTTACCATCACTATCTTTTTTTCCCCATTACTATCTATATATTTTTAAGATGTAGGGAAGTGTAATTGTGTCATTCTGCATTCTCAAGTTTCTTGCAGCTTTCAACTCTTTCAGTTTTTAACTCATCTTTAAAAATGAACCTTTTTTAGGGCAGTGCAACTAATCTGTATGATACTGTAATGGTGAATACATGACATTGTGCATTTGGCAAAACTCATAGAACTGTGCAACACAAAGAGGGAGCCCTAATGTGAAATTCAGTTAATAATAGTATATCAATATTGGTTCATAATTGTAACAAATATACCACACTAAGTAAGATGTTAATAATAAGAGAAACTAGGGGTAGGGTGGGGTATGGGAACTATCTGTACTTTCTACTCAATTTCTGTGTAAACTTAAAACTGCTATAAAAATAAAGTCTATTACTTAGAAAAAAATAAAGTAATGGCAATGGAAAAATAAAATTAAAAAATGTACAATTAAAACAAAAACAGTGAAAAATGAAATCTTTTCAAACTTTTAAGATCTCTTTGGCCTAATACTCACTCTGCTCTGCCTGTACTGTGTTATGTTGGGGGTGGCAGTTGGCCCTCTGGTTAACTGCCCTTGAATGAAGGGCAGGATGGACAAGTCTGCAAGCTGGCAACTGTGGGCCGACTTAGGAGACTGCAGGTGCAGTGGCTGATTCTGTCCTCTCCCTCTCCATTGATTCCCGCTTGTTTCTGTACTAGGAGGCCTATAGCCTGGGTTTGTCAGTCACCAGGGGATATTTGTCTTCAGCATCTGATGTCAGTCAGTGCAAAGCATGCTGCGTGATTATAGATGCAATGATCAAAACCAGATCAAAAACAGAACAAAGCTCAAACCAGTTCCTATCATCAAAGAGCTCCTGGCCAAGTAGGAATCCATAGCTATAAATCAAAATTCCTTTTGACTCCCAAGTCTATTTTCCATTGCTATCATTTGTCCTGACATCAAGTCCTGCCCGACGGTTATACCTCCTTGAGATAATTCTAAAACAAAGCATCCTGCACTGTTGTCAGTCTTTCCCTCGGCCCTCACCTCTTGTTTTTCTGTCTTTCTGTTAATACCAACGCTATCCATACAGCTCTCAATACTTGTCATCTACCCTCTACATCCACTCTGTCACTGACATTCCTAAATCCTTTCTCTTCGCTCCCTATTGCCACTCTCACTACCATGTTTCAGCCCCTCATTAATTCTGAGTGGAACTCTTAGAGGAATTTGGTATGTCTGTCTGTCTTCATCAGGCATCTCTGCAGAACAAATCATATACTATTGCTAAGTAAGAAATTTGAAATTTAGTTCTGGTCTTGTCATTTCCTTACTAAAAGCAAGGGCTTCTCATTGCCTCCAAATAAAATCTATTCAGAAAATCTGTGCAGGATCTTCATCAATTTGTTCCTAACCCACTTCTCTTAGCTACCTCCTCCCCTCCTTCCCCTGAACGTACTCCAAGACAAAATGAGCCTCTTTTCTCTCTTTCACATTTTAATGCCCCATGACTTTGTTCATGTTCTCATTTCTTTTTTAAAGTCCTCTTCCCCTGCCAGTGCATTTCAGACCCTTCAGTTCTTAGCAGAAATGCCACCTCCTTTATGATAGTTTCCTAGCTAGTGCAAAATGATTTCTCTAATTATCAGATTCTTACAGCCATATCTATATGTCTCATATGACATCTTTTTCTTTCTTTTATATCATGGGTATTTATGTGTAAGTGTCATCATTTGTTCAAGCGTTTTTATGGCAGGGATGCTTTCTTTTTCATATTTATGGCCCTTAGGCTGAGGCTTAGCGCCTCACACACAGATATACTCAGGAAAGAAATGAAGATACCATATGGTTGGTTTGGTTGTATTATCATTAATGTTCACTTTAGAAGGTAGTCTGAAAGAATGTACCAAAACTATATGAGCATTTACATTACATTTAAACATTTCTAATGCTGTGGTGACCATAGTCATCAGCCTTACATGACAGTGTGCCTTGTGAGTAACAAGACTCCATATCATTTGTTCTTGGACAGGAGAATCAGATGAGAGGGAACAGTCAAAATTGGAAGTTAAAGTTTGGGATCCAAATAGCCCACTGACGGATCGACAGATTGACCAGTTTTTAGTTGTAGCACGGTGAGTACGGCACTACTGAGTCAAGAAATATCTTTTCTTTTTTAAAGATGTTTTTAGGTATATGTGTTTTCCTTTCTTTGCATTCTACTTTTTCCCCATTGGTTGCATTATTCTTTTCTAGTTATGAAAGAACTTAATATATATCACACCACTTCCTAAATAATATTTTACTATCATTTCTGTTTTGAATGAAAATAACTTTATTAATTTTTACTGATGAAACAGAAAAGTATAAAGAAATCTCATATCTTTAATGAAAGCAGTGATCTTTATTCTAGGCATGGCTTTACTCTAGACGTGAATTACTCGGGTATCATTGAAAACAAGAGTTACTCTCACTGTGTCATGCATGAGAGAGGCCTATTGCTAAGCATAGGGCTTTCCTTTAAGAGCTTTCAGCCTGGCTGGATTGCTTCCTCCTTCCCTTCCTCTTTTCTTGAGAAAATGAATGAGGCAGAATTTTATTTTTTCAATTATAAAAGTAAATGATGCTCATGGGGGAAATTGCCACAAAGCAGAAAGTAAATGAGATTACCGTAGTTTAATAATAGTGGAAAAATAGGAGAAAAACTAAAAGTGTATCAGCAAGCAATTGATGAATGAATTGAGGTATACTTATATAATGTAATATTACTTCACAGCAATTAAAATGAATTAATTAGAGCTATAGGTAGCAAAAAGATAAATCTTAAAAATAATGTTGCTGGAGGATACATACAGTATGATCATTTATGTTCACACAGTGATTATTTATAAAAAGTTTTACAATATGTAAAACTATTTCATTAATGGATATATATTTTTACATATTAATGGATATAAATGTATTTGATCTGGGAATTCGTTTAGGGGACTCTAATCAAATTTATAGTATTTATTTCCTTAAAAAAATGAACAAAACATGATTAAGTATTAGAATCAGGTAGATCTGACAGTGGAAGTGGAAGTGCAAAGGTCTTCATTATTTTGTGATTTTCTGTTCAGCTTTTTTCATAATGCAAAGGAGAAAATAGTCCTATCCCATCCTTAGTATTGTTCATAGAGCGAGTCACCATGGAAGGTCACACACTGTATCAGTGGCCAGGCATTCAGACTCCAGAGCCCACACGCCTATCCACTAAGTGATTGGATGAAGACACTTGATGTACATTGTTGGGGAGGAGCCAGTCAGTGGAGTAGAGGAGACTGAAGATTCAGGAGTAGAAATAAACCATTGATGGAACCCCTGGCCTAGAGGCTCCAGATTAGTTATCTGAATTGTGGATTGTTTAGGAGACATTGCAGTTCTCAAATTTTATTTGCGTTGTTTTTTCATTTTCTTAATTACCAAGGGCTGTGTTTTTTTTTCCCTTGAAGCTAGCATGAGGGTAACCAAGAAGTTGCATCTAGAATCCTTTTTTTCAATATTTGTTTATTTTTTAAATAATCTTCTGAATACAAACTAAGGCCACAAATACCACTGCCCACCCACCATTATGGTTAAAATTTTAAAGACTGTCAGTGCCAAGCATTGGTAAAGATGTGGAACAACCAGCACTCTCATATGCCACTGTTGGTAGCGTAAATTGGTACAGCTGCTTTGGAAAGCTGTTTGCTATCATTTAATACACCCATCCCTTAAGTTTCACTTCTAAATATGTACACAGCAGAAAATCATACACCTCTGCACCAAAAGATATGTATATAAATGGCATCAGTAGCACTATTCATAGTAGCCCCAAACTGAAAACAACACGTTATGTCCGTCAACAGTAGAGTAGAGGTGGGAGTGGGGAACCATACAAAGGAATGCTCCTCAGCATGGGAAATAAATGAACACAGCTTCAGCCAACAACATGGGTGAATCCACAAACAATTTTGAACAAAAGAAGCTGGACATAAAAAGTGTTCATATTGTGTGATTCTATTTGAGCAAAACTAATCTATGGTGTGAGAATCCAGGATGGTGGTTTGCTTTGGGAAGGAGCATGAGAAACCTTTTGGGATGCTGGTCATGTTCTGTTTCTTGACCTGGATGTTGGTGACATGGATGTGTTCACTTTATGATAACTAAATCACTGTACATTGTATACTTTTCTGCACGTGTGTTGTATTTTAATTAAAATGTGTTTAAAATGTCTCAGCTAATGTGTTTAAAATACGGGCGTTAAGCAGCAAGTCTTATCTTCATTTCATGCTGCACCTCTTGAGGTTAGGGTTCTTTACATATGGGAAGACCTTCTAAATTATTACAGGAAAATCAGCATTGTGGTAATTGGGTTTTTTGTTTTGTTTTGTTTTCTTTTCTTTTTTTAATAATATTTTAGTAAAAATGTATTCTATATTGAGTTCTCACAGGAAGGGGTTGCTACAATTAATGCTACCTCATTTCAAGGAAGGGATGTTACTGGGATTTCACAATTTAGGCTAAAATGGTCAGAACTTGCTTTACTATAATAGTCAAACTCTGCAGTTAACTTTGAACTTTTTGAGCAAATATGAGTACCAAGTGGTTTACTCCATGGTATTTTATAATAGGTCTTCCTCTTCCTTCTTTATACCCACACAGGCTATTTTTTTCTCAATTTTGTTATAACGACCCATATATATATGGTAAAGTGGCTTATCAATTGTTAAATCTCACAGAAAGAAAATACTTTTTATTTGATATTTGATTCTCTAACATCCAGGTTGTTTTGCCTTTTCTTTTACAGTTTTTCATTCACTACCCAAATGTGTTTTTTTAACATTAAAAAAACAACAGAGGTTTAATTTTTCACTCTTATGTTTGTGGTTTCTTCAGAGCTGTTGGGACATTTGCTCGAGCCCTCGATTGCAGCAGTTCTGTGAGGCAGCCTAGTTTGCACATGAGTGCTGCTGCAGCTTCCCGGGACATTACCTTGGTAAGATGCCTGTTGAAATTTTGGGGTTATTTATCCTTCTGCTACTATACTTCTGCATTATAGCAGTACTGAGAGCTTTCTGGCTCTTAGCCCTACTGATTGCAAGGTTGACTTGGCTTGGCCAGTTGGTTAACTGGGTTCCTCATTCACCCCTTCTGTTTGTGAGCTGAGAGAGGTAAAAATGACTGTTCCATGGAGCAGATATGAAACCAAAAGAAAATATTTTGGGGGACACAATTCACTGTTCTGACTTATCTGTTTTCACTTTTGTGCTTTTTTCCCCCCTATATTCTGTCTGTGTACTTACATAGTTGTATTAGTTTTTTTATGTGAAAGTGATCACCTCTTAAAACTTGCTGTAGGAATTATGTTGTTGTCATGTTGTTCACTGTTAGTACTTAAAGTTTTTATGTGTCCACTAGAAAGAGGGTCTATTTTAAGTTATTTTATTACATTATTTCATTACATTATAGTTACCATCTTTGAAATCTAATTTTTTTCCCTTTGTGATCAAATGAAGCTTCCCATATTCAGTTTAATTAGACTATTACTGATACCAGCTGTGGCTTTCTCTTCACCTTCCAAAAAAGACCTATAGGTTTTTGACCAATCGAAGTTACTTACTGTATTTGATCCCCACAACCCTTTGTGATAGGCATGGTAAGATGGTTGTTTTAAAGATGAGAAAATTGAGGTTTGGTGCGAGTAAGTTATTTGACCAATATTCATTACATATTAACACAAGTTTCCATTTTGTTTTCTGATGGAATGAAAGACAATCATAGGTTTTATTACTTTCTCATTATACACCAATTTGAAGTGCTTTCCATAAAATATTTATTGTGGTAATGTAAAAAGTCATAGTGGAATGTATAATTTGTTTCTTGTGCTTTCTGTATATTTATGTACAATTATAGATTGTGATAAAAACAGTAGTAGTCTATAGCCATTATGGAACCCTTTCTTTATCCTTTCTCAAAGGCTAGAATGTTGTTAATAGAAGAAAGCTTTGTTCTCTCCATTGGTACATTAATATTTTATGCAGAAGTTTGGGAGTTCCAAAACAGGTTTGTATTTTGGTTGTTTAGAACTTGGAGAATATTTTATCACAGAAGCAAGAGTACAGATGTCATGTTTGTAAGAACTTTCAAAATCAGGTATTTATGTAAACCAGAATTACATGTAATCTCATCACCACCTATATATATTTTCCTGTTTGAAAGGATTTTTTTCTCAATTCTGAAATTACTGTATGCTGGGGCTGGCCTGTGGCTCACTTAGGAGAGTGTGGTGCTGATAACACCAAGGCCACGGGTTCGGATCCCTATATAGGGATGGCCGGCTAGCTCACATGGGAGGAGAGCATGGTGCTGACAATACTGAGTCAAGGGTTAAGATCCCCTTACCGGTCATCTTTTTAAAAATAAGTAAATAAATAAATAAAAATAAAATTAATGTATGCTTATTATGAAAAATTGAAAAATAGTGCAACAGCAGCCCCCAGAAAAAAAAAAAAAAAAGGCTTTGTTCTTTATACCCAGAGTATTCTTAGCATTTTATTATGTTTCCTTTCAGCCTCTTTTTGTGCATTATAAATAATAATAATAGCAAATTACAGAATAGAACAGAGGATAGAATAATGAAATTTCACATGATGCCACCTAAAGCAAATGTTAATATTTTAGTTCTTCTGATTTAAAAAAATCTTTTTCAACCATTATAGTTAATGTTGAAGTCCCTAATGTCCTGTTTCTCTTCCTCCATCTGTATCTCCCCTCACCATCACCCCTGCCTCCTGTCAAGAGTCAGCCACTATAACAAATCTGCTGTGTGTCTAGTCTGGGTTTTTATAGTTCTACTATGTATATTTATGTATCCAAAAACAACATAAACATTATTTTATGTTGTTTAAATTTACTGTGTAACATTTGCCATTTGCCTCTTATTGAGATCTAGCTTTGTTAATAAATACCCACCTAGTTAATTTATTTTAACTACTTTTTAGTATTTACAGTATTCTTTCAAATAATACCATATGATGTTATTTATGTATTCTATTACCAGTGAACATCTGGTGCTTTATAAATATATTTCTTTTGCTATTACCCATCATGCTGTGTTGAAACGTGTCCTTTTGTACAGTATGTGTGTGTTTTGTAAGCTATAACTAGAGAGGGAATGCTGACTCATATAGGGTGGTGCTAATTTAGAGTTTGATCACATATAGCCAAATTATTCTGCACACCATGGTAGAAATTTATAATCCTACAAGCAGTTAGTGAATGTTTTTCTTTCTTTATTGTTCTCTTACATTATCTTCAGCACTTGATATTTTTAGACTTTTTAATGTTTACTAACCTTATGCTTTCTCATTTTAATTTGTATTTTTTTCTCTGATTACTTAATGAGGTTAAGCATGTTTTCCTGTTTATTGGCTCTTCAGGTTTTTTCTTCTTTGTATTTTAGATTCATAGCCTTTGTCCTTTTTTTACTTGTATTTTTCTATTAAAGATTTTTTTTTTTCTGGCGTGAAACAACAGAAATTGTCTCATGGTTCTGGAGGCTAAAAGTCCAAATTCAGGGTGTCAGCAGGGCTGTGCTCCCTCTGAGACCTGTAGGGGGGTATCCTTCCCTGGCCTCTTCCTAGCTTCTGGTGGTTTGCTGGCAATATTTGATGTTCTTTGGCTTGCAGGTGCATAGCCCTAGTCTGTGCCTCTGTTGTCACATACTGTTCTCCCTGTGTCCTATTTCTAATACTTTTAAAGTTTTATTCATATTTACGACGGTTAATCTATCTGGAGTTTAATTATATGAGTAGAGTGAGGTAGGAATCTAATTTTGTTTTTTTCCATATGTTAAATTAATTGTCCTAACAACTTTTTTTGAATTTGTTGTTTCTCCATGATTCATAATACTCCCTCTATCTATTTCAAGGTCCTAAATATACATAGGTCTGCTTCTGGACTCTTAGTTTATTCTCTCTGTTTTGTTGATCTGTTCTTGCCCAAGCAAGAACCACATCATAATATGTTTCGATAACAGATAGAACAAGTCTCATATGAACTTTTTTAAAATCTGTTTTTATTTTTATTTTTTTGTTTTGTTTTTACAGCTGGCCAGTATGGGGAACTGAACTCTTTTTTTTTTTTTTAAAAGATGACCGGTAAGGGGATCTTAACGCTTGACTTGGTGTTGTCAGCACCACGCTCAGCCAGTGAGCGAACTGGCCATCCCTATATGGGATCTGAACCCGGGGCCTTGGTGTTATCAGGAACCACATCATAATATGTTTCGATAACAGATAGAACAAGTCTCATATGAACTTTTTAAAAATCTGTTTTTATTTTTATTTTTTTGTTTTGTTTTTACAGCTGGCCAGTATGGGGAACTGAACTCTTTTTTTTTTTTATAAAAGATGACCGGTAAGGGGATCTTAACGCTTGACTTGGTGTTGTCAGCACCACGCTCAGCCAGTGAGCGAACTGGCCATCCCTATATGGGATCTGAACCCGGGGCCTTGGTGTTATCAGCACTGCACTCTACTGAGTGAGCCACGGGCCGGCCCAGGGAACTGAACTCTTGACTTTGGCTTTATAAGGCCGCACTCTAACCAGCTAAGCTAATGAACTTTCTTTTTAACGTATATAGTTGAGGTCATTTAAAAGTTTTGTAACACACCAAACCCCCCATGTTTTCTCTAAGTATATAACATAAACTCTTTTTCTTATCACTATAAGCACCCGGAAAGTTTTTTCCTAATGTTGCATGGTCTTGCCTTGCATAGATATACTATTACTTAAGGAATTAGTCCCTTGTAGTTTAATACTATTCTTATGAGATAATGCTTCTCAGGTTATGACTGCGGATGTGGTCCCTGTTCGATAGTCCAGCAAATTTCTTCTTCCCTGTTTGAGGAGCAAGAGTGGGAAGAAAGCCTATTCCTGAGACAGTGCAGAGTTCTTGTGGCAGCTGGAACTGATGCGTGAAGACAGGGCTGAGGGGCGCAGCTCTCTGCTTCCCACTGCTGGTGAATTTGTAGGACAGCAAATGACATTCTTTTGGAAGAGGGCAGAGATTCAGTTATTTAGTCTGTCAGTGAAAGTCGTTTATAAAAGAAGCATTTTAAAGAGGGTACTACCTGTATGTCTTAATTAGTTTAAATATCATTTTGTGTGTGTGTTCTGTAATAAATGCCTATTACACTCCTTCTAGGAAGGTGCCTTTATACCCTCTAGTGTTTTTGTCTCTTGTTTCCATTTAATGTTCAGTAATTTGGAGGTCACTTTTGTATCACATATGTTTTCTTAAATTATTTATTTCTATAATTATTTTTTTAAGCAGAAGTAGGCTCAAGAGGCTCAGGAGATTGTGTTTTGTCACACTTGTGTAGCTGGTTTCAGAGATGGGATTTGGATCTGTTCTTGATTCCTTCCGAGGATTTCTGTACTCCACCAGATGAGCTTATTCTCACTCTTCTGCATCATTCTTGTTAAAATGGCTCCGATTTAAATATTATTGTTGTTTTCCTTTGATTAGGTAGCACTAAAGAAGATGTGTTCTTTTGTCTGCAACATTTAAATGCCTGGTTTCCTGCTTGAAATACTCTAGGTTCCACTTTACTTGGACTCTAAGATCCTGAGGCATTTCCATAAAAATAAGTGTGTATGGTTAAAAATTGAGTTTTAATGTGTTGATAACTTGAGTTTTGCAAATTGTTTACCAAAAAGAACATATAAAAGTTTGATAGGTTGTTTTGTACCATTAAATAAAAGTGGATTCACCATTCAGTTGAATTTGAAGAGTCAAGTTCTTACTTTTCTGTCAGTGTTTACAGCTCTATATTGATCACTTTAGCCCCTTTCTCCATTAGGTGACCAAACCATGGATTTGAAGACCTCCTGCTGCAGAGAGTCGAGGGGGCAGGCTTGTGGAACTGCTGGAACCTTGGTAGCCTTCCTAGGTGGTTTTCTTTCTTTTCCTATGAGGATTGCAGTAGGCTT